TGTCCACCAGAAGTCACATATCTTTGAGTACGGTTAGGGGAAAAATATTACCATACCGTTATCTATTAAATCGGCTAGTGAGCTAATTACTCGCTGATTTCTAGTACCTTACTGATAAGTGAAAAATCACTTAAATTATCTTTGAGCAGATCTCATTATCTTACCGATATGTGAAAAGTCACTTAAATTACCTTTGCGTAAAGTTTAATTTATCTTTGCTCCCTATCTTACCTTATCTCCGTATCTATCTTATTTAGGTGGAAAACCACTTAAAATTATCTGTGCGAAGGCTCATTACCTGGTCAGTAAGCGAAAAATCATTTGCTTACTGCACCGTTAAAGTTGTAATAATTTTAATTAGGTTATTATACTTTTATTATTTATATAGTAGTTATAATAACTCCTATATTATCTAGTAGAAGTTTTTTTTGATTTGCAAAAAAAGAACTGATACTCAATCCTTTATGGATGTATAAACCCCGAATGGAGATAAATTATTTTTGCTCTGTCCTACATCCAGTGATAAATCAAGCTACCATGTGTGAATCATAAGAATGAAATTCTCAACGCAAATATTTTTTTTTTCTTTTTCTTCTATATTTCGGAATCTGTTTTGATCTTACTAGTTGTCACGAGAGGAACGGCTAGGATGATGATCTGGGATTCGTCCGCTAGGGACCTTTTGAGCTTTTAAGGAAGACAGACACATTTCTCTAATTTCTTCTTACCCTTTCATTCCTTTAGTACTGATGTTGTCTACAGACCCCTTTCCCTGATATGACTTAGAAGTTTTCGTTATGTCAACTTCGACCCGATTGTGACTTTACCGATTGTGACCCTAAATTAAATTTAGGCGTGTGATACGCGAAGCTATCAACTGACAACCAGGTAGTTAATTTCTTTTCTTCTTCTTCTACTCTTATTAATGCTAGTTGAGTTTTATTTAATACTTTTTGACTTCCACTTTGGCATATGCTTTCCATTGTGATTAGGATTTTATCCAGTGCTGTTATTTAAGCCATTTCGATACCTTGTTTTTAATTAGAGATTTCTTAAAAATATCTCGTTCTCTAGTTTATCTTGAATTACTTATGAGTACTCATCTCGATGCTTTCTTTTAAATAGGCATTTCTTTTTTATCGAGGTTTACCTTAAATAAATTCTATTATCTTGACGTTGGGTTACTTAATTTCTTAATGATGTTAACGTCTTTTATGTGTATAAAAAAATGTATCCTTAGGTTTTGATCGGAAACCGTTATCTTTCTTCTTCTTCACCAGTTTCCTCTCTTGGGAGGGGGCTGTGTAACATTTTTTTATTATTAATATATTAAATTATTTTTAATTCCTTTTACCCCCGTGATGATACGCCTATGATCGTGTTTACGATAAGAAAATATTATTGGACCTACCAAACTATCATGGAATTCCCTAATTAAGAAAGGTTGTTAATCCTTTCTGTCTTAATCCTAAGTATGAAAGGAACTAATGCTTTTCGGTATGCGGGTTCTTTTTCATAAATTGGTAATTTTCGTCGAAGGCACGTACCTATAGTAATCTTTTGACAATAACATAATCCAAAGGATTGTATGTTTCTCAGGTCCATTTGTTGGTACCGTAAATACCTCAAACTTCTTCTTTTCTTCTTCTTTTTTTGTGAGTTTGGTAAATTTTGGCAAAGAAAGATGGACTTATCGGTGGGCCGTTGCGGAGAAAGGTTGATTTCTCGTGAGACGCTTCGCTCACATCGTATCTGTTATCTTACCGTCTGTGAATTGTTTTCTAAGTGTGTATACACTTTATATTTGAGTTTTCTTTTCTTATACTATATTAAATTATATATAGTTTTAAAGTACCTTTAATGGTAATTAAATTCAGTGTTTGATACATGTAAAGTATTAAGTACAGTATATAACTTCAGTGAAGTACCTAGTGAACCAGTCGTCAAGATTTACTGTAAGTAATCATTATCTTCAAATTATCTGGGCGAGTAATATGGTATGGTAACATATCATCCTCCATTATCTGGACGTATCTAAAGTTCCTCCATGTCTTCACCTTTAGATTGCTGATTTTTGTATTCAATTTAAAGAACATTTCAATAAATTCAAGAAATTTCAATAAATAATAATTATGAACATTACTCTCAGTTTATCATTAAATAATAGTGCGAGATAGTTAATCCACTTAGCCAAGTGCGGTTTGGTTAAATTTTTATGTTTTCATTTCTGTAACCTTTTTGTATTTTTGTAAATTTAGATTTAATTAATTTTTGTTATCTTTTGTGTTTGTTATAATTTTTATTCATTTTTTTTACTGTAATATCTCGAGGTACGCCCATAACACTTTATTTGTAAATGATTGTCTTATATATCTTTGTAAAGGTATTTGCTAATTACATTACTGCTTATTTTTATGTGTATACCACCATTTTATAGTTGTTGGTGTATTTTTATTACTTGTGTTGCATTCAGCAGCGTCATAATTTTGTTGTTGAATATATTGTTATTGTTTTATGTATGTATTTTATTTGTCGGCTCCTAACAAGTTCCCTGATAAAATAGTAACTCTGAATATTTGCTTTTTATCTTTAAATATTTTTATACCTTTGACCAAAAGAAAGATCAGGCTCATTAAGTTTCGTAGGTAAGTAAGTGTATACTATATATTTATTATTTGTTTATATAATGTGTTGACCAAATTTATTTGATAATTAACTGTTGGTATCTTTCCTTGGGTTTGATCTCTGAACCTAAATATCTTTCCTTATCTCTTTTCTTTTCTAAGGTTTCTTAATTTTCTCCTTAACCCCAAAAAATTGAGTGGCGCCCTGTTTCTATCTTATCGTATCTTTGGTAATTTTACCCATCTATCTTTTTGTTTATTTCTGTATCTTTTCTAATATATCTTATCTTGTTCTATCTTTACTTATTTCGTCCGTTGGACCCATTCTCGGTTCCAAAAGCTAGTTTCGAACCCACGACTCGCTCTCCACCAACCATCTGGCTGCCGTCCGCAGTGTCTCCATTGGTGACCTTTCTAGCACCATCCAAAAAAGGTTTCCGAGGTTACAAATTCTCTGCAAGAAAGATCTTAGATTAAAACTGAGAGTAAGAGCACTGAGATGCGATCTTAGATTAAAACTGAGAGTAAGAGCACTGAGATGCTACGTGTTTTCGATACTGCAATATGGACTTGAAAGCTGGACATTGAAGCAAGAACACATAAATAAGTTACAGTCCTTTGAAATGTGGTGTTACAGGAGGATGCTTAGAATAGCATGGACACAGAAGAAAACTAACACGGAAGTATTGCGAGAAATAGGCAAAGAATGCGAAATAATAAACACAATAAAAATAAGAAAGTTACAGTATCTGGGACACGTAATGAGGGGACAGCGATATGAACTGCTAAGGCTGATAATACAGGGAAAGATAAGAGGAGGAAGGAGTATAGGAAGAAGGAGAGTGTCATGGTTGAAGAATTTAAGGGACTGGTTTAAATGCAGTTCTATAGAACTCTTTAGAGCAGCAGTAGATAGAGTAAAGATAGTGATGATGATATCCAACCTCCGATTGGGAGACGGCACTTAAAGAAGAAGAAGTCATCATCTTTAACATTCCACGATAAAGAAAAGAAATCTGAGCAAAGATTAAACAACTGATCTTTGGATAAGACTTTAAACTGGTGATAACCAATAGCACTAGTTATCACACTTTTTGCGGAACTATTTGCTTTTCTATCAAAATCAGTTTTGGCCTTATACTCTTTCTTTTCAGCTTCAGTTGCTGTTTCTGTAATAGGTTCAGGTTTCACTAACTTGCCATCTATCACATCTCAGCAGCGTTCGTGGTAGTTTAACATGTCCCGCATTTTACTTTTCCCCATTGGCTATTACGATTCTCCATTTGGTTGTTTAATATTAACAAAATCTATTTTCTCGATTTTTTTAGCCTTGGAATTTGAAAGTATTTTCTTAATAAACACTTTTTCTATGTTTTCACTAGACATCTATTTTATCTACAGAACTGTGGTGTCTGCGCTCCCATAACCTTTTGTGAATTATATATTTATTGAAGATAAAATAGGCAAATATTTATTTTGACTTACAAACTGTCATATATCACACTAACTTGACAGTGACATTAAAATAATACAAATACCATATTAAAAACCATATTAATATTAATTTTCAACAGGGAAATAAAAACCAGGCATATATGAAAAAAAAGAACCTCTTCATTGCTTTCTTCGACTACAAGAAAGCATTTGACTCAGGGCCGCATGAATGGCTTACAGATAGATTAAGAATAAGTCCTATAGTGACCTAGTAAAGTAATATAGTGACATTTTTAAAGCATATAATGTCAGATTGGATGACTAAAATTCACCCCAAATAGCTGGTAAAAACAATATCGAAACTAAAAATATCCATTCCAACTATTCCAAGGAGACTAGTTGGTTAGTCCACGGTTGTTCTATCTAGTAATGAACCTGCTATCCCAGCTGCTGAACTCAACTAACAGATTTTATCATTAAAAATAACAATTATGTAGTGGCAAAGCTTAATTATCTGTTGTATATGGATGATTTATAGGCTTCCACTCGAAACCACCTAGATCAGATGTTAAAAACTGTAGAAACTTTCTCTAATATTAGTATACTTCTTTGGACATATCCTACAATTTTGCCAGTAATCGGTTCCGAAATTAATCGGAAAAACTACTTGGGTTGTTAACCTAAAAAAATCTAGCTTTATTCCTAGAAGTTACTGCACGCCTTAGTTACTTATTAGTATTAGACTGGGTAGCTCAGCCGGATTTTTAATACAAGAGTCCAGGGTGTAAGTCATTGCTGGAAAGTTTTTTCATTAAAAAAATATGTACTCTAGTAAAACTCAATTAATTCATTGATTATTTGTTACAGAAGTTATTTTTTATATTATTTCAATTGTTTGAATCTTAAAATCATAATAATAAATCATTTTTCTGTATTTTTTAGAAAATGACTCAGTGGTGGCGTCAAATTTTAGACCTTACTTATCCAATGACGTCCATGTTTAGCGGTAAAGATTTTAATCATACGATAAAAAGTACCTTATCCGACACGTACATAGAAGATTTGTGGTTGCCTTATTTTACTGTTACTACTGATATTACTTCATCTTGCATGAGGATCCATTCACACGGTGAGTCATTTGTTTCTATTTCTGATAAAAAAAAAGTGTTATATATACGAAGTAACAAGAAGTCGAGAGACCTCTCTCTGATAGCAAATTAGGTGAACCGCAAATTCAATTTGAATTTGCGGTTCACCTAATTTGCTATCGGAGAGTGATCTCTCGACTTCTTGTTACTTCGTATAGATGTCGCTGCTAGCGTACCTGGCTGTTATTTTGGTTATAATGACCAAATACTAGACTGCATTTCATTTCAGTTGAACTTCCACAAGTGTTCCTGATGATGAGTTGAATAACTCGAAACACGTGTAGAGCAATGGTGGAGTTCCGATTGAAATGAAATGCAATCTTTTACTTTCATATATATATATATATATATATATATATATATATATACTATATATATATATATATATATATATATATATATATATACATATATATATATATATATATATATATATTATATATATATATATATATATACTATATATATATATATATATATATATATTATATATATATATATATATATAAAATTCCATGAGGAAACTAAGTTCCTGTAGCTGGCTGTATACCATATATCACAAAAAAATTTTGTTTAAAATCCTTTATAAAAGGTATATAAAAATGCCCCAAACAGGCTATCACAAACACATTGCAAAACGTTTTCGGATTAAACAATCCATCATCAGTGCAAACGGTTGTACATGCTAGTAGCCACCAAAATATATGGGTCAAAACCCTTTAAATGTTTTAAATTTGTAGTTGTTTTACATTTTTAGTAGTTATAATTTGTGATGTTTAAGTTACCGTTGGATAGGTAACATGGCGGCGTATGACTCTACATGTTGTTGTTATCAACAGATCCTCGTAGACACTTCGTCTCAGGACCTTTTTACTCATGTAGAGTCATACGCCGCCATGTTACCTATCCAACGGTAACTTAAACATCACAAATTATAACTACCAAAAATGTAAAACAACTACAAATTTAAAACATTTAAAGGGTTTTGACCCATATATTTTGGTGGCTACTAGCATGTACAACCGTTTGCACTGATGATGGATTGTTTAATCCGAAAACGTTTTGCAATGTGTTTGTGACAGCCCGTTTGGGGCATTTTTATATACCTTTTATAAAGGATTTTAAACAAATTTTTTTTTTACATATATATATATATATATATATATATATATATTATATATATATATATATATATATATAATATATATGTAGTGTTGCTTCTTACAAGACAGAATAGATTTATTTTTCACGTTGAGAACGCCTATGAATAGCTGTTCTGATGAGACCTATTAGGTCGAAATACGTATAAACAGATACATAGACGCTTTGTACGTGAAATCAAATCTTGACTGTCTTTTTCATTTTATTCGGATCTACTCTGTATGAGTACAAGAAACCAATTCGCTAAGGATTTCTGCTTAGTTGAGGAGACATGTCGTGGAATGCAAATTTTAGATTCTCCATGTCTCTTTTAACATCTTTATCAACGTCTGTTATACCTTGCAATTATTAGAAGGTTCAGATTAAAGCAGAAATCTAAATTGGTTTCGAAACTATTTTACGGATTTTTTCTAGTTTGATTTGATGTTTAAGAAATGTATTGATTTTGTATTTAACATATTTAATTTTAATGATCAATACTACAAGCAGGTGTTTGGCACTAGAATGAGATGTTGTATATCACTAATTCTATGCAATTTTGTATTAGATGATTTGATGTCAGATTGTCTTGATAAATTAGAATATCACGTTCCATTTATTAAAGGATATCCAAATAAAATCAATTATACTTTACAAAGTCTTCTTCTTTCTCTTTATAAGCAATTTTGCTTGTTCATTGGCGGATTAATACCTCTATGGACGGTTTTCACGCGATCTTTTGCGCGATTGTCCGGTACTTCTTCTGCCGATTGGTGACTTATCTCTTGCCATTTTGACGACACTGGTCTCCTCCATTCTGCTTATGTGGTTCTTCCTTTTTTTTTGTATTTTGTGTCCATTCATTTATACACTGTACGTTACATTTTCTTCTAATGTCTTCACTTCTCTTTCGATCTCTCAGCGTATTTCCTGTACATCTTCTCAGTACTCTCATCTCTGCAGTTGCCATTGCATTGTGGCTGTCTCGGGTCTTGTTTCTGAGGCATATGTCATTATTGGTCTTACACTGGCTTTATAAATTCTTGACTTCATCTCAGTGTTAATGTGTCTGTTTCGCCATATAGTGTTATTAAGGCATCCTGCCAGTCTATTTGCTTTTTGTACTTGATCTCTCACTTCTTTGTCCAGGTCTCCATAGCTAGACAGTGTAATTCCCAGGTATTTTATTTCCATTACTTGTTCAATACTGATGCCATCAATTTCTATTTTACATCTGGTTGGTTCTTTGCTGACTACTATTGTTTTAGTTTTCTGAGATGAGATTGTCATATTAAATTCTTTTGCTCTTATGTTAAATCTGTGGACCAGTCTTTGCAGACTATCTTCATTGGACTATCAATATTGCGTCGTGTGCGTAACAGAGTATTTTAATGAACGCTTGACCAAATGAAAGTAACGCTTTTGATGATTTCATCCATGATCAAATACAGCTTTTCTTTGGTCTCGACATTTTTGTAATATGATGTTAAGCGCAAAAAGTGCCTTCCTGGTTCTCATCGAATTTCTAAAACCAAATTGGGTATCTTCAAGATCTTCTTCCCATTTGCGTCTAATTCTGTTGTGAAGTATTCTGAGGAAAATTTTAAGAGTGTGGCTCATTAGGCTAATTAATCGATATTCTGAGCATCTTCTCTCATTGTTTTTTAGGTATTGCGATAAAAATGGATTTGAGCCAATCTGCGGGAATTACTCCGGTTGTAACGGGTAGCTCTTTCGGGGCGACAGACTCAGTAAAACACAGGTTGAAATAAAAATATATCTATTAATTTAACGTATGTACAATAAAAGTAAAAATAAAATGAATTCTCCGCCGTATAAAATAAAAATAAAACAAATTCTACGTCCCCGTCTGGATCCCGCGATGAAGGATTTCCCCGGCGAACGTCTATAAAAGAAAGAAAAAGTTATTATCAATAACAAACAAATAAAATATGTGAATTCGATCGCATGCAGACTTATACTCGCTTCCGCTTCAATACAGCGGAATCCCTGTTTCAAATCGAGGGTTGATATAAAATTTGCTTCCTTGAGTCTATCCAGAATTTCCGATATTCTGGGTAACGGATATGCGTCCTTATCTGATAGTTCGTTGACTTTTCTAAAGTCAATGCAAAACCTGTACGAGTTATTCTCTTTCCTAACTAGTACAATCGGTGAACTCCAACCACTTGTGGATGGTTCGATGGTTCCTTCTTTTAACATCTTGTCCACTTCTTGGTTGATGATCTGCAGCATTGCGGGATTGTGCCGCCTATAAGGCTGTTTGACTGGATCGCACTTTTTCTTCAATTTTATTTCGTGTTTTATTAAGTTGGTGGGTCCTGTTATGTTCTCAAACTCCCTTAGTTCTTTTCTTAGGAACCTTTCTAACTCCATATTTTTAGTGGAGTCTTTTAAAGTATTACATGTCTCTTCTTGATGTTGTACGTATTGTTTGGTCGTATGTTTATCGAATTTAAGTTCGATAGAATGGTTCCTGAGGAATTCCACTCCTAGTAAGGCATCTTCCGTCAACCCTGGCATTACTATGAATGTTTGTCGGGTTTGTAACTTATCGATCTCGCATTCAATTGTCAACTTCTGGTTAAGCTCCATTGACGCTCCATTTGCTAGTCTTGTTCTCCCGCTGTAGCTATCTAGAGAGTCCTTGTATGTCTGAGCTATTCTATCCCCGACGTAATTTTTAGTGGTTCCTGTGTCGATGAGCGCTCTGTATGTTCTTTGCCCTATTTTCAGTGATGCGAACAGTCGAATGTCATTGCTTGCTGGCTGTGTAACGGCGAAAACGAATGGAGTCGAATCTTGCTTTACAGACTGGGACGACTCCTTGTTTCTCCAGTCTGTAATTCGTTTCCCTGACGCCTGAAACAGCAGTCGCTGCTGTAAACCCCTTCTCTGCCGCAACGCGAACAAAACTTTTTCCATGGGTTTTTGCAGTTTTTACGGCTGTGACCTGGCATCTTGCATCTAAAGCATGTCGTTTTGGCATCGTACTCTGCTTGGTCCGTACGTCTCCAGTTTCCACGGCAAATCTGATTTGATCGGGTCTTTTCGTCTTCTAAAGCTTCGTATTCTTGGGCTAAATCTTGTAATTCGGCTAAGTTTTCAAAATCCCGGCGGCGAGCATAAAGCTTATATTCTGGTAACAAATTTTTGTATATCCTTTCGAGTTCTTGATTTCTCGTAGCTTTCTCGTCCTTGTAGCAAATATCCCCTGGGGTAGAAAGCTTTTTTAAAATCTTCGCTGAAATCTGTCCATGACTTCCAATTTTTGTTATTGTTTCTGTACCATAACAAAGCGTGGTCTCTTAATAATTCTGGTAATGCTCTTAGTAGATCTTGTTTATCGATCTCGTAGGCCAAGCTTAATTCGTCTATCCTCTCTAAGAATTCTATTGCATCCGAATGTTTCTTGTCGAAGTGTGTGTTCCACCTTCGTACTTGATTTAGCAATTCTGATTGCCCCATTTGTTTCGTTATTGTTAATTCCTGTAATTGTCTTCGGATGCCCGAAATTTCCTGGGTCAGTGTGTCGGATTCTGTTCCCTTGGAAGTTTTTTCTTTTGGGATTGTTCCTGTCGCTTCCTCGCGATTTTTAAAATAGGTTCTGAGTCGTACTCTCAATTCGTCGACGGTTCCCTTGGGATCTAAGCCGCATTTTTCGGCCTCGCTCTGCAATTCCTCTTTGCAAAGTCGGTTTATCCACGACGTACCTGTTACTGAGTCTGTGTCTTTATCTGTCGGCATGTTATTAATTTTCGGTAGCTTTTCGCAATTCCTCAATTTTGATCGGGCGCCAGTTTGTAACGGGTAGCTCTTT